TGTATGTATGTGTATGTATGTATGTGTGTGTATGTATGTGTGTGTATGTATGTGTGTGTGTATGTGTGTTCTCATATGGTTAACACACGTCACATGACCAGAACAGATGCCCAATATGATGCCAGCATGAAGCTTTGAGGGTCTTTGAACAGAAGTAAGATGAACACATTAAACCAAAAGACTTGGTTTTACACAATGCACTAAATCTGAACCATGACTTGATCATAAAACCAGCCGCAATTGATCTCCCATGTGTTATATTTTATAAAGTGCCTTTGTGTCTTTAATTTAGTGTTTGCATTAATGCTGTTCCAGCTTCATTCATACTGTACCTGAAGTCAGATGATGAACAAACATCTAATGACTGAATGTGAATCAGCAGAAGTTCTTCATTAGCTGTTTGTTGTGCTAATATCTGCTTTGATCTGAAGTCTGAGAGGAACAGAATAATCAAACCACAAACACGCTAAACGACACCAAACGCTCTGAAGTCACAAACCTATAAAGATTTTCCATATAAACTTTCCTCACTCCGCGCTCGCAGAGATATTGAGCATGTTTACTGCCAGAGGAAATTCACAGATATTATAGATATATAAAAAAATATAAACCTAAACTCAAACTTGGGTGGCTTTACACAACGTGTGTGCGCTTCATAATACCATGGTGTGAGAGACTCTTTCAACTGATGTCCTGTATTGAACTGAATTTCAGTGGTCAAACTATTTCAAATATAGCGAATTTAGCTCCAAACTCGATTATAATGCACAGTTTCCATCTAACATCAGGGCTCTCAAGTTATAGCAAAAGTGTGCAGTGAGATTAGGGGAGGGGCCAGTCAAATATTTGCAGCACCCAATTCTCTCAAGTTTTCACAAGCATGTCAATTTGACCTATTTTACCTCTCTCTCTCTCTCTCTCTCACACACACACACACACACACACACACACACACACACACACACACACACAGGTTTACATTTGTGAAAAGTGGGGACTCTCCATAGGTGTAATGGTTTTTATACTGTACAGACCGTATATTCTATTGCCCTACACCAACCCTACCCCTAAACCTACCCCTCACAGGAGACTTTCTGCTATTTCAGATTTTCAATACACTCCATTCTGTGTGATTTATAAGCGTTTTGAAAAGTGGGGACATGGGGTAATGTCCTGAAAAGTCACCTTCTCCTTGTATTACCTGTCATACCTTTGTTATTATACACATTTATGTCCTCATTTGTCACAAAAACGCGCGCACACTCACTCACACACTCACACTCACTCACACACAAATACTCACACACACACACAAATACACACTCACTCACTCACACACAAATACACATCACACACACACACAAATACACACACACACACACAGCAAGTTCTGCAATCCTACTGTATGTGTACAGTATGCACATTGAGTACTGCTGTTCAGTTGGCTCGTTTGGGGCCAATATATAAAACATATCAAATATAAATATATAAAACAATTAATTTTATTTGGATGAATTTATCTGACTTTTTTTTGGTTATAACACCGCTAGTACTTTCCTTAGTTTCTGGGAGCCCAAGCTAAGTTAAAGCTTCTGGTGGCAAAGTTTTGGACTGCATCAATAATAATTTAGCACGAATTTGGCTATATTCCACAACATCAGATCTCACTGTCTTTGATCACAAGCAAGTGATTTCGTCCAGGAATCTCAAAATGCTAAAAAAGAAAAAAAACAAGGTTGCCTACAGCATTCATCGGGTCTTGCTCTCATCCATGTTTTTATTTATTTCCCCCCTTTAGTCAGTTCCATCACACAAAGGCACAATGCAAACAGGGAAACGTTGCACATCTCAAAGCATGCAAAACAGAACAACAGCAACAACAAAAACGCCAAATGAATACAAACATATATATATATAGCGCGCATCCATGTTGCGCTTGCAGAGGGATCACGTAATTTACCCGGAAACAACAACATTCTCATTTCTGATTGGCTGGTCGGTGTCATTTAACTCTGTATAACTCGAGACAGCTGTGAACTCGGCAGAGTATTCGTCCATTAACTATAGCAGGACAAGTTATCCCTGATTTCTCATTTGCATTCATTTCTAGAACAAAAATCTCAACATTGGATGAAGCCAGGCTCTAAATTCTTGTCTGACAATATTAGACACAAAGGTTTTAACAGATGGGATTTTGGAGATTTCTTTTCATCACTGCATAAAAAAAAGCCAACAAAAATCACGCCAGTCAAAAAAAAAATTTGTAAAACAATGCTTTTTTTTTTTAGAAACAAAATGATGTATAGGCAAATTATAGCCTATATGAACAAAACCTTCAGAATATAAATAGTAATAAAACTCAAGTTTGCTGTGTGCATGTGCTGATGAAGTGGAGATTTGTGGCTCAGTGCAGGAGAAAAATCTCATTTTGAGAAAACAGCCAACAGATACGCATTATAATAGAAATCCACAGACAGAAATATAAAAATACGTGTTATAAAAGAAACACTTAAAGGTGTATTTTCCATTAGTCTGAAAAAATACTTCATGAAAAGCCAAAATTGACAGGTGCATGAAAAAACTGTTTTTGCCTGCAGCGTCTCGCCTTTAAAAAAAGTGCCCCTGTGGGTATAAGTGGATTATTGGTTGCTTTTTTAAATAATTATTTGGGTGAGTCGTCACTACCGCATTCTGACAGCAGGTGGCGCTGTTGTACTAACGTCACGCGCTACTGCAACCACACTTAAACACTCCTTTAATTTCTTTCAAACTCCAATTCGTTGAACTGTAATGCATGCAATAGCTGCTATTGATAATTATGTAAATGTAATGTAATTAGGACAGACGATTAATCCACGTGTCTCAGGGGTGGAGACGCGCGCGCCTACAGTCCCCTGAGAGCCGCAGGGCTTCAGACGCTCGCGGGGACCAAACACTCGGAACGGTACGAAACTTCACTGCTCTCATCATTTCTCATGCATTATGTGGTTTTCTTTCTGTATTCTCGATTTGAGACTTTCATTGTGTTGTTTCATAAGCGTAGCAACTCGTCGAAAAGCTATTAATGCTTTCATAACGTGTTGAATGTACAGAACGATATTCAGCAGTTTCTACATTAATATTAGATGCTTAGAAGAGTTTCAGCAAAAGCTTACCATGGCAGGACCCTTTAAATATCATTGTATATGAGTATAGGAATCATTTTAAAATGTCTTGAAAGTGATCTAATGACAAATAATTTAACATTGATTTTATAACGTTATGCATTTATTTGTTAATTAATGCAGAACTATAGGGCTATTTTTTACATTGCAAGTTATAAGTTAGGCTACTAATATAATATGCTTACAGTATATGCAGAGAGCAAGATTGCATTATTTTATATTCTTTAGTTTCTTTGATTGGAGATCCCACAAAAACTTACCATGGGTTTTTGGACATGTAGCATGTAGGATCATTTAAATATCATTGTATATTCTGTTGTAATCAATCATGGTATTGCAATGTAAATGTGCTATGGTGCAATCCACAGTACTTATATAGGCTCAGAAATACAGTGAATATTGTGACAAATGCATAATGCAGTTAACATACAGTCAACAAAATAAATGCACGACTGTAAATGGCTTATTGACGGGCTGCTGTTATTGTTTTGTGGTCAGTCTGGCTGTGTTGAAGACTCTGTAGTGAACCTCTCAGCCATGTCCACTTTCAAGGGCACTAGAGAGGCGTCACAAGTGTCAGAGGGCAGGGTGCCCACCCTGTGCTTCTGGGACATGTTGCCCGGCCAGGCAGCTGCTTGGTGTATTAATAGCGTCTGTGAGTTTTACACTATCGCTTTCACAACCTCAAGTTTACTTTGTGGCTTAAATCTAACAAACTAGATTTTTGAAGACGTGCAACTCACCCTCACAATGCATTGTGGTTGCCAAGTGTAATTCTAGTCATTATAAGAATAGAATGTACCTTTTTATCTTAACAATGTGGTTCTGTTCCAAAAACTAGTGTGCAGCCTAAATAGGATGCATTTTAAGGCATCACAGGCATGCTTCAGATTGCGGTGCCTTATTTTGACCAAATTTAAAGGAAATATTACACATTCCGTCAAATAGCAAGGTAATCCTATAATGCACTGTAACTACAGTGGAAAAAAGGAGAGAAATGTTGATTATGAATTTGAATAATAATACTAGTTTATACATCATTTGTGTCTGATAGAATTATGATTATAAATAGAATTTGGTCCAAAAATGGAAGAAAAGTCAAATTATTGGTGGAAAATAGTTCAGTCTAATTAAACAGGGACTGTTGTACGTAATAAAATGTATTTATTATTTATTTTTGTTTAATATTTTTATGCTTGTTACACTATTGTGTGTATGCTGATGTCTGCTGGAATCATTTGTTCACATGAATCGCGTCAGCTTTATTAATGAGGTTTGATTTGAGTTAGTATGCAGCTGCTCGTTTAGGGAGCTCACTAGGGTTTGGAACAGAACCTCAGTCTGATTTAGATGCTGATTCATGCTGTATTTTGAGTATTCCAGATGTGTTTCCTTGGCTGCTGGTCTCCATATAGGGAGATTTCACAGTCGTAACAGGTTAAGGTCTCTCATTTGGCTCAACAGATCACTGTCCTGCAGCCAAACACCATCCTGGAGAATCAGGAGGGATTTCACTGCAATTCAGAGTCAGACCTTAGACAGGATCTATAATGGCATATCCTGTATCTGAGGCTAAATCACTAAATATTGATAATGCAGAGGTGTATATTATATTATTTAAACGAACGGCCACCAATCCAAACCTGCTAATAATCACTTATTTTGATTCAATACGACTCTCAACTTGATGCTCACATAAACCGATCACATTTTAATGATGCAAAAGACGGGCGCCATTATAGTTTCAGCTCCATGTAAATTTTAGTTACATAAAATTAAAGGTTAGAATTAAATCTATGTGTATATCATTTCACGAGTTCACACTAACATGTAATGTGATTAAGCAATTAGTAGCATATTTGGCGTGCTGTCCAGAGGGAGGGCTCCGAGCTTGGGTTAAAGCCCGAACCCAGAGAACTCCCCAAAAGAAGCTAATGGAATGAGACAGCAGCCGGAGAGAAAACTAAGTCGTCCCCAAAAATATGCGTGCCATGAAGAAAAGTAGGGTGTGCGAGGAGGCGGCAGGGTGACTGGGAGGGGTCGTGCGGTGCTTGAATGTGAGCTGCGACTCTCTGCATCAGATGGCAAGCCCTACCTGTCGCTGAATGAGGAGCACGATGGAAGGCCAGGTGAGGGACTCTCGCTGCATCCGAAGGGAGCTGCGGCTCTGCTGCACCGGAAAGGGAGAGTCCCTCTTTCAGCTGAATACGTGGTGTGGTTTAAAGCGTCGGATGGAGGGCTCTCACTACGACCGAAGGGAGCTGCGGCTCTGCTGCCCCGGAAGGGAGAGCCCTCTCCGATGCGGAAAAAGCAAATGGGGCTCAAAACGATGGATGGAAGGCTCTCACTGCGACCGAAGGGAGTCGCGGCTCTGCTGCACCGGAAGGGGGAGCCCTGTCCGATGCTGAATAAGCCTTGAATCTCGAAACAACAGATGGAGGGCTCCTGCTGTGACCGAAGGGAGAGCCCGGTCCAATGCTGAATAAGCCATTAGTCACTGCAGCGGCGGTATCAAATTAAGCCGGGCACTGCGGCGGCGGTATCAAATTAAGCAGGGCAATGCGGCGGCGGTATCAAATTAAGCAGGGCAATGCGGTGGCTGTATCAAATTAAGCAGGGCAATGCGGCGGCGGTATCAAATTAAGCAGGGCAATGCGGTGGCTGTATCAAATTAAGCAGGGCAATGCGGCGGCGGTATCAAATTAAGCAGGGCAATGCGGCGGCGGTATCAAATTAAGCAGGGCAATGCGGCGGCGGTATCAAATTAAGCCGGGCAATGCGGTGGCTGTATCAAATTAAGCAGGGCAATGCGGCGGCGGTATCAAATTAAGCCGGGCACTGCGGCGGCGGTATCAAATGAGCAGGACACTGCAGCGGCGATATCAAATTAAGCAGGGCAATGTGGCGGCTGTATCAAATGAGCAGGGCACTGTGGCGGCGGTATCAAATTAAGCAGGGCACTG